TGGAAATTGTCAAAAATGAAATGCAACATATAAACATTGATATCCTAGGCATTAGTGAGCTGACATGGACAGGTACAAGCCATTTTGAATCTGACAGCCACATGGTATACCATGCCGGGAATTGATCACATCTATGGAAAGAGACGGTGGAAAAGCTCCATATCATCAACCAAAACAAGGCCATGGGCAGACTGTGGAACAGACCATCAGTTGCTCATACGCAAATTCAAACTGAAGCTGAAGAAATGAAAACAAGTCCACTAGAGCCAAAGTATGAAATGGAATATATCCCACGTGAATTTAGAGATCATCTGAAGAGCACACTTAATACATTAAACACTAAGACTGAAGACCAGAGAATTGTGGGATGACATCAAGAACATCATACAGGAAGAAAGCAAAAGGTCATTGAGAAGACAAGAGAGAAGAAAAAGACCAAAATAGATGTCAGAAGAGACTCTGAAACTTGCTCTCTAGCATAGAGATGCTAAAGCAAATAGCAGAAATGAGGAGGTACAAGAGCTGAACAGAAATATTCAAAGGTCAGCTCAAGAAGAAAACGTCAAATATTATAACAAAATGTGCAAAGAGCTGGCATTAGAAAACCAAAAGGGAAGAACACGCTCAGCATTTCTCAAGCTCAGGGAACTGAAGAAAAAATTCAAACCTCAACCTGCAATATTGAAGGATTCTATGGGCAAAATACTGAATGATGAAGAAAGCATCAAAAGAAGATGGAAGGAATACACAGAATACACTATACCAAAAAGAAATGGTCAATGTTCAACCATTTCAGGAGGTAGCATATGATCAAGAGTCAATAATCATGAAGAAAGAAGTCCAAGGTGCATTGAAGGCATTGGCAAAGAACAAGGCACCAGAAATTGATGGAATACAAATTGAAATATTTCAACAGAATGATGCAGAACTAGAGAAACTCACTGATCTATGCAAAGAAATTTGGAAGACAACTACCTGGTCTACTGATTGGAAGAGATCCATATTTGTGCCCATTCCAAAGAGAGGTGACCCAACGGAATGCGGAAATCATCAGACAATATCATTGATAATCCATGCGAGTAAAGTTTTACTAAAGGTAATACAGAAATGGCTGCAATCATACATTGACAGAGAATTTCCAGAGGTTCAAGCCGGATTCACAAGAGGACGTGGAACAAGGGATATCTCTGCTGATGGTTGAAAGCAGAGAATAGTAGAAAGATGTTTACCTGTGCTTTAGAAACTACACAAAGGCTTTCAATTGTGTGGATCATGAAAAGCTATGGACAACATTGTGAAGTATGAATATTCCGGAACACTTAATTGCACTCCTGAGGAACCTGTACAATGACCAAGAGGCAGTTGTTCGAACAGAACAAGAGAACACTGGATGGCTTAAAATTAAGAAAGGTGTGCATTAGGGTTGTATTCTGTCACCAAACATATTCAATTTGTATGCTGAACAAATAATCCCAGAGGCTGGATTATATGAAGAAAAACACAGCATCAGGATTTGAGGAAGACTCATTAACAACCTGCGATATGCAGATTATACAACCTTGTTTGCTGAAAGCTAAGAGGACTTAAAATACATAGTGATGAAGATCAAAGACTACAGTCTTCAATATGAGTTGCACCTCAATGTAAAGGAAATTGAAAATCCTCACCACTGGGACTGTAAACAACATCCATATAAATGGAGAAAAGATTGAAGTTGTCAAGGACTTCATTCTTCTTGGATCAACTATCAACACTCATGGAAGCAGCAGTCAAGAAATCAAACGACATGTTGCACTGGGCAAATCTGCTGCACAAGACCTCTTTAAAGTGTTGAAAAGCAAGATGTCAGCTTGAGGACTAAGGTGCAACTGACCCAAGCCATGGTATTTTCAGTAATCTCATATGCATGTGCAAGCAGGACAGTGAATAAGGAAGACCATAGAAGAACTGATGCATTTGAGTTATGGTGTTGGAGGTGAATATTGAAAGTACCATAGACTGCCAAAAGAACCAACAGATCTGTGTTGGAAGAAGTGCAGCCAGAGTGCTCCTTGGAAGCCAGGATGGCCAGACTTCGTCTCTCATACTTCAGACACATTGTCAGGAGGGAACAGTCACTGGAAAAGGATATCAAGTTCAGTAAAAAAAAAAAAGGAATACCCCCAATGAGATGGATTGGCACAGTGGCAGCATCAATGGGTTCAAACATAGCAACGACTGTGAGGTTGCCCCAGGACTGGGCAGTGTTTTGTTCTGTTGTGCACAGGGTCACTATGAGTCCATACCAATTCGATGGCACCTAACAACAACAACCACATTCACCATATCACTGGTCACAAAAGCCCATTAACAGATGACTGGATCAACACCACACTGGAACACTGCGCATACAGTAGAGTAAATGAAGTCTTGATACATGCGACAGTATAGATGGAGTTTGAAGACATTATGTTGAACAAAATACAACAGTAGATGTTAGATAATTACATCAGCTGATAGGTCGGCAGTCTGAACCCACCGGCTGCTGCTTGGGGAAAGATTATAACCTTGGAAACTCTATGGAGCAGTATTCTGTCCAGTAGGGCCACTATGAGCTGGATTGGGTTTTATCATATGGAAGGTCATTTGCTCTACCCCATCTAATCACATGTGGTGGAGATGTGCCAAGGAGTCAGTTCTGACTCTTAGCGACCCTGCACAGGGTTTCCGAGGCTGTAATTCTTGATGTGAGCAGAAAGTCTCATCTTACTTCCTATGAGTAACTGGTAGATCTGAACTACCGACCCTGCGGTTAGCAGCCCCGCTCATAATGTAACTAGACTAGTGTTTGACCAAATACTTGGGAACCCCAGCCGAGCCGAGTTGACACATAAAATGAACCAGCACAGGAGCTGTGATGGGTTTTTGTTATGTTCGCATTTTGTCACTCTTACGCCACCTAAAACTTCAGATGAATGAGGACAACATCCTTTTTCTCAGCTTAAGGAAATCTTGGTGTGGCGCTGTAAGATAAGCACAGGACCACATGTCAGTTTGAACCACAAGGTTAGCAGTTCAAATTCACCAGCAGCTCCTCAGAAACCCTATGCTGGGTTGCTATGAGTCTGAACTGACTCTATAGGACTTAACAACAACAGTGCCAAACACTGGACCAGTGAGTGACTTTTCATTTATTTTCTCATTTGTTGTTGTTGTTGTTGTTAAGTGCCTTCGAGTCGGAGTCGACCCATAGCGACCCTGTACAGGGTTTCCGAGGGTGTAAATCCTTACGGGAGTAGAAAGCCTCATCTTTCTCCCGCGGAGCGGCTGGTAGTTTCGAACCACTGACCTTAAAGTTCGCAGCCCGATTGTAGGGTTTATTGTTCCCATTTTACAGACAATAGACAGAAGTTCAGAAAGATTCAGTAAGTTAAAGGAGATGAGCTATTCAGATGATGACATTATCTAGAGCTAAATAAAGCTTGTTGCAATTGCTCAGAGATATTGTTTATATTGGCTCAAGTGTACCCCAGAGCTGAGCCAACAAAATCAGACATGATTTTCTTAGACACCCCACTCACTGCCACACAGTTCTCTAAGCTAAAGATTCCGAATATTCCAAATGGAGACTCTAGTGTCTTTCCTGCCATCAATGAGGCTGGAACCAGAGGGACTAAGATCGAAAACTAGCCTCTGGGATCAAGTTTGGACAGAAATCTTACTTGCTGGTGGTCTTACCAGAAAACAATCGTTCCTTCTCAGTAGCTGCAGGGTGGGAAGCTGGGAGAGGATTGATCAGAATCCCTGGGAGGGATTTCCTGACCTGAGCCAGTGACCAAAGATTTGGGCAGAGGGTCAACCCAGAGACCTTGGGATGGCAGGGCAGCGAAGAGGCGGGGTGGGGGGTGTTAGGGTTGGGAAGGGGGACAGAACGAAATCCTTGGGCTCCTTAGGCTGGGGCGGGCCTAGGGACAGGGGTGAAGTGGGGTGAGGTGGGGAGGGGGGATGGGGGAAGGGGAGCTGGGGCGGGCGTCTTTCTGGGAAGCAGACCTCAGGGGAGGGAGGAGCCCGCTGGGGGGCGGAGGCCTAGACCTCTGGCAGTCGGGACTTCTGGACTGAAGGACAGGACCCCAAAAGACGACGAGAAAGCGAGGAGACAGGGTCTGTACTGGGTACGAACTTACAAACTATTCGAGAGCCCCGTGCTGTTCTCCAGAATCTCAGTGGCCGCATCTGTGGCTTTTTGGTCCTAAGACCGCGGGTATAGGCTCCCAGGGAGGGTCAACCCCGCAGGCAATCCTAACTCTTAGGCGACGGGACGCGGGGGAGGTTGGGGGATGGCGAAGGGGTGGGCGACGGAAGGCCTGGGAAAGGGCAGCAGGGAGGAAAAAGGCTAGGGTGGGAAGACATCCGCCATCAGTAGGGAAGCCTGGGGCTGGGCCAAAGCAGGACCCCCACGCTAGGGCACTAGGATCCGGCTGGGCCAAGACAAGACCCAAGGCCTGGGAGCTGGGACTGGGCTGGGGGGCTCGGGTTGCCCCGGCGCCGGGAGAGTTAAGTGTCTTCACGCCCCCAGTCTTCTACTGGGCTCCTCCCGGGTGTTTACGTCCTCTCCCAAATATTCCATCTGCAGCCAGTTTCTCTGGATAACCCTGCCCCTCCCCTCCCCTCTGTTTGCAGTGCGCGTGGGGGGCGGGGGAATGGGAACAAGGCGGGAGGGAACGCGTGCTCTGCCAAGAGTCCAGGTGGGAGCCAGCGTGGGCCCGACGAGAGGAGAAAGGGTTGAGCTCATGGGAAACGGGCTTTGCCGTGATGAATCCCTCTACTCAGGAGAGGGAAACGCAGGCTTGTGACTGGACCAGAGGGATTCGGGAGACCAGCCCCCTCGTGGCAATTGAGTGGACAAGGCCATCCTGCAGTTGCTCCATCTTTTTCAGGCTCTGCCAGGCAGTTCCCGTGGCAGAACCCCGGGCAATGCGGGCCTAGAGGGCTGAGGATTCACCCCTTTTGCAGGGCCAGCAATGAGGTGGCTAATGATCACATTCGCCCTATGCTTGGGCGCATTGGGTCCTGCTCTGGCCCAGCTCTCCGAGGTCCAGCGTGTTGGCCTGCAGGTGGCCCTGGCCGAATTCCACCAGCACCCGCCTGTGCAGTGGGCCTTCAGGGAGACCAGCATGGACAGGGCCACAGAAACGGTAGTGGGACAGCCTGGGAAGAGGGAAAGTGTGGGGTTAAGGCCTCATCCCTGGACCAGAACATTCTTGGGAGGCGGCTACAAGAGGCTCTAAGCAGATGTGCAGTTTCACTGGGCAGCCCGGGTCAGCTGTGGCTGTGACCACCCAGCTGGCTGCTGGCCTCTATTTTTCCTGTCCCTTCTGCAGCCATTCCCAGCAGGGATCTTTGTGAGGTTGGAGTTTAAGCTCCAGCAGACAACCTGTCGGAAGAAGGACTGGAAGAAACCCGAGTGCAAAGTGAAGCCCAATGGGGTATGGTACAGTGTGTGCTGGTGGGCGTCTGGATCTGCATGTGTCAGTGAACACGTCTGTGGGACGGGGACGTGCGTGCTTCGGTCTCTCAGAGTGGCCGCAGCTGAGGAGGAGCCCCTAGAAGCTGTTCAGACTGGGCCCCTGAGGCCTGGGTAGGCAAAAGGGAGCGTTGGGATGCCTCAAGGACCTGTCTTTGCCTGAACTGGGGTGCCCACCATCCATCAGCGCTGTCAGAAGCCCATGGTATGGGGTTGGTCTGGCCTCTGGTCCAGGCCTGTGAATTCCTTGTTTTGTGTGTCCAAGTAGAGATGCCCAGCCGGCTGCTATGGGAGACCCTGGGCTGGGACTACTAGAGCTGGGTTCCCGATCAGGCCTGGGCAGTAGCAGGAGGCATTTGGCCCTTACATGCACATGTACACACACACACACATACCCATAATGCACATGTGCACATACTGTCACATATAATCTGCCCCCATACTCTAAAATTGTAGATTGAAAACTGTAGCAGCTTCTGAAATCTTCTTGTCCTAGAAGGCTGCACAGGAAACTGACGGGCTGGACCATCACCTCCTAGGGACCTTTGGGGGTAGGGGATGCATCTCTGGTGCTCATCACTGCCCCTGTGGAGGCAGTCTGCCTAAGTGTCCACCCTTGGGATGCCCAGGCCCTCTTGCCTCCTTATCCCTTCACCTTTCCCATGCTTTCCTCTCCAGCGGAAACGGAAATGCCTGGCCTGTATCAAACTAGGTTCTGAAGACAGAGTTCTGGGCCGGATGGTGCACTGCCCCCTTCAGACACAGGTGCCTCGGGTAAGAGCCCCCTGGGCTGGGCTGTAGTTGGAGGATTGGGAAGCTGTGTGGGGGACCGGGCCCAGATCCCACCTTGGAGCGAGTGTGGTGGAGCTGCAAAGGGACTGGACCCTCCCCACAACAGTCCTCTTGCCCACTCTCCCCTTGCAGGAACCCGATGGCCACCAGGAACAACAGTGTTCTCGGGTAGAACGGGCTGGCGAGGACCCTCACAGCTTCTACTTCCCAGGACAGTTTGCCTTCTTCAAGGCCCTGCCCCCCAACTGAGCCCTGGACAGGTAAGATGGGGGACAAATCCAAGAAAGGATGGCAAGGCTGGGATTTAGGATGGAAGAAGCTGCTAAAGGCAAGCAGAGGAGAGGAAAGCTGGGGCTCAGGCCAGGACAGCATCGTCACACCCAAACCCGGCTCTTTTCCTCCAGAATTCAACCCCACTTCACAGATGAATGCAGAGATCCTCATAACAGTTCCACCTCCCTACCTGTGCCAGAAGGACAATCCGTCCCCGGCTAATAAAGCTGGTCCCCTCTGTCGGGGTCTGACCTCGACATAGTTGTCACGAGTTTTTGGTTCACGAGGAGGGGAGATCCAGCGGCGATAGGGATAGCGAAAGAATACACAGACAAACAGAAGAAGGGAGACAATGAGGCACCCCAAAGCCAGGGTGGATACATCACTGGTGGGCAGGCTTGGGACTACAGGCATCATGGCCTCTGCAGGCAGCAACTCACTGCCCTGCAATCTTTAATGCATGCCTTCCAACCCGTAATGCACCGCAATCTTTACTCCATGCCTTCCAACCAGTAATGCACACCTGGGGAGGCCCGGGCCTCTGCTTTATTTAGGGGAGGCGTTTCACACCAAGCTGGGAGGGACTAAAACAGGATACAGCTAACTTCAGTAATTTTCCAGACATTCAGGTAACTTTACATTGTACTTCACTGGTTCGAATCCCAGGCCAGCAACTTGGATTCTCAGGCCCAATTAACATATCTATAGCCCCTGAGGTCAGTTGGGGGAAGGTGAGAGTTCTGCAGGAGATGCCCAGGTGAATGGGCTGCACCTGGAAAAGGGATTAGGGAGGATGGGTTCTTTGTCTATAGAACAAAGAACCGAGAAGTAGCTAAGATATTTTTAGTTAATCCTTTGGAGAAAGGTTTAACCTTGCAACCTTTAGTCTCGGCTTTAGGAAAATATCACATTTATCTGTGGATTTTCAAAGGCTCCAGTGTATTAATTTAATATATATACCTGAATATTAAGATGAAAGCAATTTTCCATTAACTGCCAGTGGCCTCATTTGTTACACTCAGCCTTAGAGGGCCTCAAACCTCTGACTAGTCTTACACAGTCTGCAACACCCCTCCAGCGTGGCCCTCCTCTCCCTCCCCTCCTCCCGTCCTGCCTAAACAAGAGCCCAGGGGAACCTCTACTCCCATGAGGCACCTGGGGCCCAAGGGGGGCCCACAGGAAACGTCAGCTGGTGACACAACAGAGCAGAAATCAGGTTTAATGGGGTTAAGCTTGCAGGCTTCAAAGACAAGAAGTGGGGTACGGCGGCCTTAGCAAGTATCAAGTCTGGAAGGCAGGTGACTCCACTTCCCATAAAATTCTCCTCCCAGGAATGGCAGGAGCAGGACATGTGCTCATCTCCACCTTCCTCACCATGGGCCTTGGACTCAAGCCAAAACAGTGGGAACCCAGGCTTCAGAGGGACTACTCAAGATGTACCACAGGGGTGGTCTCTGGGCTGGTGAGGTGGGCATGGAGGGAGCAGCTCCTCTCGGAACAGTCCATGAACAACCAGGCAGAGCCGAATCCACTGTGGGACACCCCAGCCAGGGGTGCTCAGAACACAAAGGAGGAGGGGGCTTTCGCAGGGCTCAGCGCCTGCTCAGCCTGGACCAGGCTGTCTTCAGCCTGACGGTCCAGATCCCAGCATTCCTGCAGTGTAGCCTGGAACTGCCTGCAGGCCTCCTCCAGGATGGAGTTGCTGGGAGCGGGCCAGGACTCCCAGTAGCCAGGCTCTACCCAAGGCTGGGCATCAGTGGCTCGGGGCCCGGGGCTGGGGCTAGGACGCAGGGAGCTGTCCAGGTCTCGGCATAACTGGTAGAGGTCGCTGCCACAGCCTGTCACCCGCTCCCCGTCGATGACTTTCAGGTCTGGTAGCAGCTCTCGGACTACAGCCTGGTAGGAGGGGCTGGAGCACAGGGGGTTGCTGAGCCGGGCCAGAGGGTCTCGGAGCCGCAGGTTCTCAAGGCCCCGAAGCCCGCTCAGACACTGCAGCTGACCAGGGCCAGCCAGCAGGTTGCCTGCAGCATTGAGGCTCTGCAGGCTCTCACAGGCAGCCAGAGGCTCCAGCCCGGTTAGCCGGTTGTGGGAGACGTTGAGGACGGCTAGCTGGCGCAGAGCGGCCAATGGGCCAAGGTGGGTGAGTTCATTGGCAGACAGGTCCAGCCACTCCAGGCCCAGGCACTTGCCCAGGCAGCCCAGGTCCACCAGCTGGAGGCCGGGCAGCTTCAACAGCAGGATGGAGTCCAGAGCGAACTCACCCGTGCGTTCCTTCAGCAGCTGGGCCGTGACTCGAGCTCCAGCGGCCTCTCCTGGCTTCTTGCCCTGCGGCTCCATGAGGTGGTTGGCTCAGGTGGCCAGGGTCCTGTAGGGCCTGTCAGAGCTGGGATGTTACAGGGCAGACTGGCCTTCACCTGAGGGTACCATGCACTCGGCCTGGCTTGTTCCTAGGGAGAGACAATTGCACCCTGGATCTGAGGTCCTAGGAGGTGGAAGCAAGAGTGATGACCTTTCACCCCCAGGGCCGAAAACCACAGGGCCAGGGCAGATGTGAGGAGCAAGGGCGAGGCCCGGAGGTGGCAATTCTTGGGGGAGGGGAAGGTGGCCACAGGCCCCAGGAGAGGGGACCCAACTCAGCCCAAAGCCCCCATTCTTCCTGCTTTTCACATCTAGTTTCCTTTTTCCCATAGCCCTCAAGAACTATCATGAGAACTTAACACATGTAGATGCAGTTTTGGTAGTTCCCTTATCTCCTTCCTGGGGCAATCTGAAGCTGCAACATCACCAACAGCAGCAAAGGCCCAGCTCTGTCCCTCAAACATGTTCTAGTCTCCTACTTGCTTTCCAGATCAGCCAGGAACACAACATTCTGTGTGCCAACCTGTGACCTTTGGTTGGAGTGGACGGGTGAGTGCTACAGACCTATCTTTGGTCCAAGATGAGAAGCACAGTGCTGGCCAGTACTCAGGCCGCTGCTGTCCCCATCAAACTAGCTCCTCGTCTGCTCTGGCATCAACTGAACACACAGCTGGTGGTCAAGGAAGCCCATCCACTGGTAGAGAGGGGCAGGGCTTCTGAGAGTGGGGGAAGGGCAGTGAGACTAGAGAGGCCAGTGACTAAGGGGAGGGACCTCTGGGGGAGGGCCCATGGAGGGGTCAAGGATTAGGCAGAGTTGACAAGCTTCTGCTCAAATAGCAGTTTCCTAACCCCATGGACTTGGGCCCACGCCAGACCAGTTATGCCTGGGCAGCGCACTCATTCCAGCTGTGTAGAAAACCTGTGCGTGTTCCGCACCAGACAGTCCCAGTACAGGCCGTGCTTACATAATCCACAGTTGTATTTCCCCTCTCCAAGCGCCTCCCAGACCCAGCAGCAAGCACTAGTAAAGAGCCCCCAGCTTGGAGCTGCCACCGCTGTTAGCCTCTCCTCTCTCCACCACCTCACGATCCCCACTTCTCCACCTAGCTCCTCTTCAGACAGGCCACACTCCAGCTGTTTTTATGTATCCCTCACTTCTTTCCAAAAACAATTTTGTATCTGCTAAGAAGTCTGGATCATTCCATGTGAGTGGGGCTCTGCTGAAGTTTTCATTCAGTTAGACTGGCTCTACCAGCAAATAGAGTGAAGGATGCAGACAGGGGCACCAAGCACAGAGAGAGATAAGGAGCCCAACGAGGGCCGTGGGGAGGTGCAGGGAGACACAGGTGCAGACGGGGCGGCTGGAGCCCTGGGTTACGGTTAGGAGACACTGGGTGCTCCAGACACGTGGTAGTGTCTGGAAGCAGGAGAACACAGGATAAGCATGTGTTGCACAGTCAGCTTTTATGAAATACAGACCTCGTATCTGTCAGCTCCACTTCAGGAAAATGCCTACGCCTGCTGCCTACACACTATTTTGGGGTACAAGTGGCTCAGAAACCCCAGTATACAGGAAAAACAGCCAAAGTCAAGGGCAGAACTCCAGAGACGTAACATTTATGAGATTGAAGAAGTGTCTGGGGGTGTATGGAGGAGCAGTGAGGGGAAGGAGAACCCAGTGGCATCATGTGAAAGGCCACACCTCACCCACAGGAACCATTTCAGGAGATGAATGCGACAGGACAGTGACTCGAGAGGGAGATGAACAGAAAAGGGGACATTCAGAGAGAAGCTTGTGCTCCGAGTCAAAGCTGGGAGGAACAATGTGATCTTACAGCAGAGGACATGTGGAATAGAAAGGTCACTTAATGCCCCGAAGTTCCACGGGGCAGGGGACCTATGATTGTCCAGCAGAGTGCCCAGCACTGAGTGGTCAACTTAAAACTCTTGCTCTTCATTTGGGCCAATGACTTGACTCTGCTCACAGCTGCAGATCTGCCCCTAAATGTGGGCCCTCAACAAGGCAATTCTGGGCAGGACTGAGGGCAGCTCAGTGAATGGTAGACACGTCATGCTCTTCCCTTAGGGCCATGATGGTTCAGCAGTAGGGTTAGCACTGTCCATGTCTGAGAGCCACACTTGGCTCCCCACGAACACACTACAGATACAGCCACCGCCCGTCTGTAGTGGAAGCTTATGTGATGCTAGAAGGCTACACAGGTTTCAGCAGAACTGCTAGACTTCCAATGAAAACCGTATGCAACACAGTGGTCCAATCTTGTACATTGGGTCGCCATGAGATGGGCTGACTCGCCAGCAGCTGAAACCCACAATGCACAATGTGATAATTCTCGTCCTAAATGGAGATGAAGTGAACAGAGTCCTCTCCCCACCCTCCCCAAGCAAGTCTATGAAAAGACAGTTACAGGATGGTTGTGCTTTAGGATACAACTGACAATTGTGTCTCATTCTAAGGGAGGTTGGACTCCAACCAAGAAAGACAAAGTCCCTGGCTGAGTCACTAACTAGGACATGAGGCTAGAAAATGATGTCCAGCAGTCATTCAGGGCCAAAGAGCCAAGTTTTAGAGGAAGAAACAGTTCAACATGGGCAGCCTTAGGTGGGATGCCTTTAATACTGCTTGGCGATTTTTGTTGTGAGAAGCAGCATTCTGGTCTTCACTTACTAGATGACAGTAGCAACACCCTCCAAGTTGTAACAACTGAAAATATCTGATGTTGCTACATGTACCCTGGGGAACAAAACTGCCCCCAGCTTACCACCACGGCCCTATAGTCCAAAGCCTCTAGCAGTATCTACAAGAGTCTGAGGAAACTTCAGTTCCTCTCAGTTACTTCTTTCCCCCTTCCCATCTTCCCCACCCAAGGAGTCCCACCCTTCTCCACTAAGAACACTGGGATCACTTCCGACACTAAAGCTACAGTAATGGATGTACAGACCGATATGCCTCCCCAAGACAGCTGTAGGTCCCTACGTAGTATCAAACTTTGCTCTTGACTACTAACCTAAAAGGAACTCTGGCAGCGTAGTGGTTAAGAGTCAGGCTGCTAACCCCAAGGTCAAACTACCAGCTGTTCCGCTGGAGAAAGATGAGGCTCTCTGCTCCTGTAAAGCTTTACAGCTTCGGAAACTCTATCCAGGGTCGCTATGAGTCGCATAACCACCACCAGCAGCCTAAAGGTTGGTGGTTTGAACCCACCCGAGGCACTGCGGAAACAAGTCCTGGTGATCTGCTTTCAAGACTTTTTTAAACTTCAAAAATTCTAGTTTCTTTAAAAACAACCCTATGGAGAGTTCTGCTCTGTAACACATGCACTCACTGCAACAGGTTTGGTTTGGGGCATTTTTGTGGGTTGCAGGTTAATGCACTGGATGCCAAGTTGGTTTGAACTGCAAGGTTGGTGGTTCAAGCCCACCATTTGCTCCATGGAGACCCTATACAGGGTCGCAATGGGTTGGAACCAACTCGGCGCTTAACAACAGCAAGGCAGCATTAGGGGCATCAGAATCTCAGCCTGGGCTCACAGAATCAGAATTGGGGGTGATGCACAGAAATCCACATTTTCAAAACACTCTCAGGTGACTTTTACGGACATCTAAGAACGACTTAAATGTCTGGAAATGCACTTGATTCAGTAGAAGCATTAAGGAGGTGGAGTGTTAGGGCCCTTCCCCAGGCCAGCATAGCCCTCCTCTGACAGGTAAGCCTGTGCATACATTCCCCATCCACACTCCCTCCCCTACGAGATGGCACCTGTGTAGTTAGGAGGCCAGACTAAATCAAATCATGTTACCCTAACCACTGACTAGGAGGTTTACAAAGGTTCACTGGATAATGTAAGATCCAACTGTTCTGTGGTTACAATGAAAACAGTACATACGATATGACGGTGATGTACAAAATAAGAGACTATGGTTAGGGTTAGTAGACACACATCTCTGAATGAAAGGTGACTAGTGATTTCCAAAGGTTTTACAAGGAATTAGAGAGTGGCTGACAACCCTCCAGGGGCTCCTAGGGGACAGGCCTCTGTCACTCTAGGCTCTGTCACTTGAGGGAGGGCCAAATACCTCACCCTACCTACAACCACTTTCTCCCATGGGCACCTCTTGTAGGAATGAAGCCCCTCAGGCCACCCAACTCAGTCTCATAGTTCCTATTTTCTGCATGAAAGGAATTCGGAACAACCTGTTACCAGTGGATTCCAGATACATCTGTTCTCTCTTCCAAAGGAACTTGCCCTTGGAAAGTGGCCAGGGACACACTACCCAGAGGCGGGCAAGCTACTGGAGCTCTAACTGAGTTTGCTTCATTCGGGAAAGAAGGAAACCCCAAGGTTCCCAGGAGTCTGGAGACAAACTCTTTCTAAGAGTAAGATTCTGAAGACTGGGTGTCTCACCTCTATGCTTCCTTGCTAGCTGGCCAGTCCTGGCCACTTTAGGGTCCATGCACAAGGACAGCCCCTAAGATTTGTGGGATGTACACGTGCCTCATAAATGGTTAATTGGTGTGAAAGGCAGTTTGGGAAAGCACCGCCATAGTCTACCCAGACTCTAGGCTGCTGAAGAAATTCCCTCCAGCAAGCAGTCTTGTCTCCTGTGGCCCTGGTCGCTTCTCAAGGACGCAGCCCCTACAGAGCATGCATTTCCTGTATGTGTGGAGTAGCTCTGAGCCTTTTAGTGGTCCCAGAAACCCACTAAGCCTTCAATAGAGTTTATTCAACCATACAATGTAATTCAGAGTAAATCTTCTCTATGCTCAGAAAGCTAGAAATTAAATAACGAACTAATGAAAAATGACATCTCCCTGAAAAAAAAAACAACCCAGCAATTTGTCAAGAATTGAGAAACTGTCCCCCTTCTCACTGACAGGATTTAGGGTTCTGCTGTCCCTGCCTCACTGGACAAACTGCAGAGTTTTCAAGGGAAGATTCTATGGGCACCAGACTGGTAGATGC